GTTGTATTGTATTGTGTTTTTCTATGGAAGTAAATGTATGCTGTTTAAAAGACTCGCGATTGCTGAACAAGAAAACGACACATAAGACGATTCTCCCTGAAGTACTGAAATAAATGAGCCGGAGCGTTGCCAATTGGATTTCAAAGGGTGATTTTCTCCCAGACAAGTCCGGTACCAATTTCCCAGCCCCAGAGGGAAGAGAGGCTTAATAAACCTGAATAGGGATCGAACTACCACCGAGCTCGTGATGACAGGCATCAGTACCACTGTAATTTCTGTTCCCTTAGTAATATTTAGGGGTTGGTAGTGGAATAACGTCTTTGGAAGCGCGAAAGCGAGAAAAAATTTATGCATAATGCTTTTAATGAGGCAATTCGTGTTCTTTATGAGATCTACATGTCACAACTTGGAGACACTTCTCTTCCACTTCCACCAACTGGTCACAGGTAAGTGTGCTCTGACAGGTACTAAGGGGTTCATAAACTTTGTAACTGTACATGCATCCTATTTTAGGAGTGCGATTTATTATCCTCTTAATTCTTAATTCTTAATTCTAATATCCTCTTGATATTAGGTAGCCCTCAGAGCCCTCAGAGTAGCCCTCAGGTTAAGAGAAAGTCAATCCTGGGAGCTTGCTTCTGCCGTTTGCATCAGGAAGCCTGGCTAAGGGTAAATCATCACCAGTATCCACACTGTCTTCGTATCAAACTTATCGCGTAGTAATTCTTCATATTTTTGTTGAGCAAGCGCGAGGTGTTATTATTCTTTATTCACGAATAAGCCGACGTTTCGGCGGATTTCGCCTTCCTCAGAGCCTGGAAAGGTCAAGTTGATAGCAATCTACTCGGCCAAACACCTCCATAACCAAACAAAGAAGACGCTAAAACCACGATTTCAATCACATTGAACACAGCTTTGCACGCTCACCACTTTCTATGAGGTTTCCACTAAGTATGTCACGTAGAGACCAAGCGCACAGAAATTACATGGAAGCACAATGTGTCCCTCCCATCGGAATAGCAGTCTTATATACTGCCCTCAAAGCACGGACAGGATAACATGGTTTTTAACCCTAATATATAACCAGTTGTTCAAACATATTCCAGCCCATCTTACGAATACCCAGA